TGATCTTGCACCGTGGGACTTTTTCCTGTTTCCCAAACTCAAATTACCACTCAGAGGAACGCGTTTTGAATCCATAGAAGACGTAAAACAGAATTCGCAGAGGGAACTCAAAGCCATTCCGGAAAGCGCCTATAAAAAATGTTTTGATGATTGGAAGAAACGTTGGCATTTGTGTATCGCTTCTAATGGAGCATATTTTGAAGGAGATAAAATAAATATTGATGAAGATTAAGAATTTTGCGTTTTATTTAAAATTTCCGGAAACCTTTCGGTCACAATGTATATTCTTTAAGACCGAATTTTCGATAGATGTAGATGTTCCACAATATGTAAAGTGAACCAGCCGATGCTTTTATCATATATGGAAAAGCGATAAGCAGCAATTGACTGAGCTTCTGAAAGTGCAACTCGTTCTTATTATCAACCAAAATAAGTTTAAAACGAAAATCATAGGACATACTCTCCGCTCCAGTATTACTTAGTGTTATTACCTTCTTATAACTGTGGAGTGATAAAAATGAGTGCAGTTAAGGACTAAAAACTTGCCAGTTATCAAGTTCTGAGCACGACTGTTTGGGACATAAGGTGGGTGACGCATGGTTATATATATCAAACTAGTTTTTCCAAAATGGATTCCTTTTCTTCATATTTTTTTCGAAGTAACTTTGAATAACCGCAACAGCGACAAATTTGTAACAGACATTTACTTTGGTTATCTCCGACACGTTCAGTAGTCAATTGCTTTCTCAAACTCTCTTCTTTTAGTATCGATTCAGAGTCTTCTTTTAATGAAATTTCACCACTTAAGTTTATATAATTTCTTGACATCCAACACCCCATCACAATTTGTTTCATTTCAACTTTTTTGGAAGAGATTGGAGTTACTGGCACATTCTTATATTGTTGATGCAAGTTCTTGAGGCTCTCCTGGTGAGCATCAGGATAGTTTTTGATTTCTTTTTTAAAGTCGTTTACAGGTTTTTGTCTTAAGTTCATTCGAGGCTTCACATTTCTTAAACGACTTCAATATAAAATGAACAGAAGCTCCACTTGTGGTAATAATTATATATCAAAAATTTATATGTCAAAAAAATGAGTTCTTTACTCCCAATTATAATGTTGATTATTACTTATTTAATATTTATTTAAATTGAAGTTTAATATCGCCTACTTTATGAAGTTCCTGAAAGTAATGATATTACATGTATTCATTTTTCTCGAGCCTTGGACAAAGGAACCAGTTCGTATGAAATAATTACTCGTATCTAAAAAAAAAAGTTTTTCAAAAATTTTTGTATTGCCAAGGAGCTGCTACATTTTGGAACTTCCTTTAGAAACTAGTTTTTCGGTTTACAGTAATCGAACCAATGAACTACTTTGAAAAAGCTAAGATATCTTTTGCATCTCGATCTTAAGATATTTAAACATGTGTCAAATGTAACAAAATTTCAATTTTTAAATAATCTACAGAATTTTATAAAGTTCAAAATTATTTTATAAAGTAGGCGATATACGTCTTGGTCTAAAACCAAAATCTAATGCTAGTCATTTTAAAATAATTTTATCTACAGTCAACTACTAAATTTTATTCAAATATTTATTTCAAAATTTTTGTGAAAATTTAAGAAAACGGAAATTAATTTGTAAATGATGAGTAATCCAAAGGCAAGGATATCCAAGGAGGAGAAAGCTTCTATTCGCATCTTATTGGAGCAATTTAAAACGGAATTGAGAGCAGTGTTCGACGCAAAAAGGGAATACATTGAGAACTTCAAATATGAACTTCAAGATTACTTTGACACTCACCTAAACTGCGACGTCAATAACTCAGGTCAAAGTCAAGGCGAAGATTCAACTGATTTCAAGCGTAAGAAAATGATGTCCATTTTAGGTGAATGTAAGGACATATTAATCGATGGTAAGTTTCAAAAGTTAAAAGAGTTAATAGTTAATATATTTATAAGATTTACTAAATCAACTAACCTTGTTATAGATGCGCGAAAGGTCAGAAAGTTCCGCATTTGTAGTCGTTGTGGACTATTTAGGAACAACAAGAAAACCAAAATTCGAAAAAAACCGAATGGAAAAATTATTGTTTTTCGGAGACGTAAGTGGTAAGCCAATATGTCTCATATATGTCATGCCTCACATTATGGTGGTCAGAGTTTGGTAAGTAACAAGATCATAAACTTATTTACATTTGTACCTACAATTTTGTTTACATTATTTAAGACCACAATTAAATATGGCACCTACAACATCCCATAATGGACGCACTCGTACTTATATAATATCGGAGGCATGATGGTGAGTATATATATCTTTAATTGTGATTTAAATTTATCTTCATTAGGTTTGAATGTGAATATTTTTTATAGTAACAACTTTATACGGGATGTGAGGTGCAGATATGGAATCGGAAACGAACATAAGGCATCAACGAAAGTATTCAATCCTGAGGTTGAGAAAACATTTTCTTGGTATATCTGCTGTTTGTTCAGTTACTGTGTATCGAAGTTGCATTGTCATGGACGTACTATCGTTTCCTTTGGTGTACCGTTTTCTATACACCTTTAGACACGATATCTGGTTTCCGTGTTGTCTTAAGTTTAATTAATTTTTCCTTGGACGTGGCTCTGGGTACATTTTTTCTGGTCATTCTTTTCGTTATTAACTAACCAGTTTCAACCGTTAGCTGGGCACCCAGTTTTTGGAGTTTTACCATTAGGACGGACGTTGCTTATACACTCTGATGTACCATCATTGTTTGTTCCTTCTTGTTCTAAGCGTGGTTGCTTGGCTGTTCTCTTAGTACACCTAATGATCACTTTGCTGTCCTCACACAACTCACCCAACATGGGTAGATTTGGGTTGGTTGTCCACTTATTTGTGTTTAAATTAAAAGCCAGTTGGATTTTGTTAATATCTTTCCCGAAACGTTGTTTGGCAACTTTATCATTTTACTGTAAAATCGGTAAGTAGAATTTTAATGAAATTCTTCGTATATAACAGAAAATTTATTTTATCATTTATTATTCGTAGTATTGTTCTTGAAGTACAAGAATGGATTTTTAAAGAGACCTATCATTATTTTAGGATAATAAAAATGATTAAATTTGGAAAAATTATTTTCTTCTACTATTGACTGGAACTCATCATGTAAAAAAAAATTTAACAAATTTTTTTGGCCAATATAAACAAAATTAAAGTTTTTGTTTTTATATTTATTACAATAAAAGCGTTTTAAAATTAATTGTATAATAACAAAAAAAAATTGTTCTAAACAAATAAATATTGAATATTAATTATTAATACTCCAGGTGTACATGCTTTCAGCAAGATGATGAAAGGTGTAGCAATGATACATAAATAGTGATTCAATATACGACGTCTATCCCAATAAGGGGCACAACAGGTCTTTTAGTTTGCAATGCACTATCTCCCTTTAATACTTTACTCTACCCTAATAATAACTAAAAATAATTTTGATAAGTCACTGTACGTGAAGCTATCATCTTACAAAACTCAGAACTTACTCTAATAGAA